AAGTAGTACTAACAAAATATAGGGTATTAATGTCCATTTTTGACGTTTTCATTCAAGCATTTTTAATATTTGACCTTTAATTAAACAAAATATATATTTTATATTAATTAGATAAAATATTATTTTGAAAATATTATATATAATAAATATAATAAAACTATTTTTCTATGAATATCTAATATCATTTTGATATAATTTGAGTTCAAAATTAATTTATTTAGTTTGACTGAAAAAAGTCAAAAAGTGAACAAAAACTCTAGGACGGAGGGAGTAGTACATTAATACTATGTATAATGCATAAAATGTTGGAACCCTCCACACCTTTTTTTGTTTTATTTATTAGCAGTTTCAATTTAATTTCATTGATTACCATATATTTTATTGATTACATTATTTATTTCATTAATTTTTTATGGTCTTAGTTTTTTTCTCATTTTCGTAATTTTGTATATCTATTTTTTTATTTTTTCTAAGGTAAGACTAATCTTTTCTAAAAGAAAAAGAAATGGAGGTAGAAAGTCTATTTTAAAATTTAAATGAAAGTTTCAAAAAGAAAAATTTAAAAATAAAAATTCATCAAAAATAATCCCAATTACATTTTGTTTCGGAAAAATGTTGTTTCCCTTAACCCAAAACTCATAAATTTTAGTAGAGTTGGAATTATTTTGCATCACAATTAAATGTGAATCATTTTTGAAAGACCAGGTAAAATTGGGATTATTCTAAATAATTTTTCCTAATGATAATAGTAATACTTTGTAATTGTGGCATATAGATTAGCAAGCATCTTTGAAGTTGTGAATTAGAGAGTGAAGGGATTAAATATAACTAACGGTGTTATGAGCTTTTTGGGGTATAACTTGCATGGTACAAGTTTTAAAGCTAGTTATGCATGTTTTTTAGATGGAAAAGGTGCATAATATTAAGGGGTACCTAACCCTCTTTCACATTTATATAATAGAAAGATATAAATATATGTTGCATTTTAGGATTGGTGAAGATGATGTTGAATCAACACAACAGTCAATACAAAAGGAACACGATGTACATAAAGCAAGTGCTCCAGCGCCTTCAAAAATATCTCTTGAAGTAGAACCAACCAATGATGATCAAGGATCCACAAGATTAAAATCTTTTATGTGGAAACGTTTTTCTAGGGTATTGATAGACAATAAACAAGTTGCAATATGTGATGGTTGTGATAAAAATATGCTCGATCAATGATAAGCGGCACTACACATCTAAAAAATCATTTGAATAGTTGCATGAAATCCAAACAGAAAGTAGATTTGAGACAACTCATTCAAGCTTCTTTTAAAAAAGATCCTAACATGCCATATGTTCTTGGAAAGTACAAATTCAGTCAAGAAGTGTCTAGAATGAAGTTAGGCAATATGATTGTGTTGCATAAGTACCCTCTATCTCTTGTTGATCATATTAGCTTTAAAAGATATTCTACTACCTTGAATCCTGAATTTAAAGTTGAGTCAAGAAATACAATAAAAGTAGATATTTTTAAAGCTTTTAATGATGAGAAATCTACTTTGAAGAAGCGTATGTCTTTAATTGAGGGGAGAGTTAGGGGCTGTTTGGCAACTTCTGAATGGGTAAGTGCTGAACCAGTAAGAGGTCTGAATCATTAAGTGCTTAACCAGTAAGAGGTCTGAACCATTAAGAGCTAGTATATTGCTTAACTATTCAGAGGCAAATGTCTGATCAATTCAGATAACAGCTCTTAACCATTCAGACTCTGTATAATACTTAACCATTCAGAGGCAAATCTCTTAACCATTCAGACATCTGAACCATTAAGAGGCTGAAACAAACAGTCTGAATCATTAAGTACTGAATCATTCAGACATCTGAACCATTAAGAGGCTGAAACAAACAGCCCCTTACCAATACTACTGATATGTGGTCAGCAAAAAATCAAAAGAAAAGTTATATGATAGTGACAAGATATTTTATTGATGATGATTGGAAGTTGCAACATCACATTTTGAGGTAGATATCATAATCTAATAACATTTTATACATTTCCCCTGCTTATTAATGTCAAATATTTCTTCGTAGGTTTATTTGTGTATCAACTCCACACACCAGCGAGGCGCTCGCAAAGGTATTGATGAATGCTTTAATAAATTTTAATTTGGATGAAAATGTCTCCAAGCACAATGAATGATGGGATAATTGATGATTTTCTTGTGAAGTCCAATCCATCTAAATTGATTTTGAAGAATGGCGGCATTTTTGATGATTTGCGCGTAAAGTTCAATCCATATAAATTAATTTTGAAAGGGACTATTTTGAAAATAAGATTTTGTGCACATATACTAAATTAAGTTGTTCAAGATGGGTTGAGGGTTATTGGTAAGACAATTGGGAAATTGCATGATTTAGTTGCTTACTGTGTTGCACACCTAAGAGATATGAAAAGTTTGAAAGTGCTGTTAGGTATGTTAAGATTTCTCAAAACAAAAAGATTGATTCTAGACTTTAAAAGTAGATGGAATTCTACATATGAGATGCTCAAGATTGCATTCTTGTATAAAGATGTGTTTTAACAATTGAAACAATGTTTAAAGAAATAAAAATTTGTTTTAGCTGAGGAAAGTGAGTGGGAAAGAGCTTATGGAGTTTGTGATAAGTGGGCTATATTTTCCAAGGTAACCATTACTTTCTCTAGCTAAATTACCCCACAACAAATTTATATTTTCAAAAAGTTTGTCAAATTAGACTCATATTAATTAGTTGACAAGCATTAGAGTCTACACTTATAAAAAGTATGACCAATCAATTGAGCAAAAAAATTGACAAATATTGGGGGGTAGTTAGTGGAACTTTAGTTGTGGCATCTTTGTTGGTGTAATACACCATGTTAAGATTAGAATGGGAAGAGTTCAAAAGGAATTATAGTACTACTCATACTAATAAGGTACATCTTCTTTTCGAGAGCTCATCACACAGAAACTCCATAGCTAAGCATGCTTGACTTGAAGCAATTTGAGGATGGGTGACGCCTTAATAAGTTTCTTGGGCACAAACGAGTGAGGGCAATGTGCGTGGGAAAGACTTATGCTGGTGTATTGGGTCAATATAAAATCTTATGAGCCCACACTTACGGCCAGGGTGGGGGCCGAGGTGTTACAGTTAGATCCAAGGAAAAAGATGCAACATGTTACGTATTACTTTGAGAATCTTTATGGAGTACGTGCTAACACTAAGTGTGAAAGAGTAAAGGCATTGTTGGATTCTTTGGTAGTTTAGTACAAGAGGAGAGGATCTTTAGTGAGAAGTGAAGAGCATATTCCATCTTCAGATGTTAATAATGTCACGGAATTTATATCTAATTTAGATGATATGGAGTGGGATAGACATGTTTCTACAAAGCCAAGGAAAAAGTGTTTAAGATCGGAAGTTGATGTTTATTTAGACGATGATCTGATGATAGGAGATCCTGAAAAGTTTGATATCTTGGTTTATTGGAGTGTTGTGGCAAAACAATTTCCTATTCTTTCAAAGATCGCTAGAGACATTTTGGTCATCCCTATTACTTCAGTAGCCTCAGAAAGTGCTTTTAATGCAATTGGTAGAATCATTAGTCCTAATCGAAGTCAACTACTTTCCAAAATAGTGGAAGTACTAATGTGTCTTAAGAGTTGGAGGTTATTGCAATTTGAAGGTAAAACACAAATTATTTATTGTTTACATAATAGTGTACGTATACTGTGATAATTTTTTATGATTGAGTTATCTTATAGGCACATGTAAGGATAATGCTTTGGAATGTTCAAGCCTTTTAGTTGATGAAGATGTCCAAGGAAAGATCATAGAAGATATATTTTTTAGTAGATAAAGATTTAATTCTTATATATTTTCAATCAATATTTCTTTTAATGTTAAGAACTTTGTAGGAGATGCTGAAAGCGACGAGGATGACATTTGATCTTATGGTTGGAAGATTGATTTCCCATTTGGTAGTTGGCACAACATTTTATGAGTTTGGATAAGTATTTGTGGAAATTTGTTGCATTTTTGTGTTTCTTATGGTGAAATCTTGTGTGGCACAAGATGAAAATGTTCCCGAAATTATATTCACATGTTTTGACTATCATTAGGACATTTGTTATAAATATCTTAACTTTTTGGTGTCTTAAAATGTGAAACATTTTTATGCATTTGAATTGTAATTGAGTCATTACACGCAATTGTTATTTCATTCTTATTCTATAAAAAAATCAGAACAAAAACTGATATATTGGGACATTTAAACTGGTAATGGTCGGACGCACGGGTCGGTCAGTCAGGTTGAAAGTTGAGTTTCTATTTAGTTTTTTTTGTATAGTATTGGATTCGGTTGCGGTATCGGGTATCAATTTGCATAGTCGGGTTCTAGTAGAAATTCTAACCCGACAGTTTGGGTTTAGGCAAAAAAAATGTCTGATCTTATTCTTTGGTCGGTTTTGGGTAAAGGTATATACGAACCGAACCCGACCCATTGTCATCCCTACACCTTACCCAACAAATTTTATTTTCTTAATTAATCAGCTACGCATCAGAGAAATGGGCCACCATTAGTTTTGGGCCAGAAGTTAAATTCAAAGAGCTCAAATTAACAATACCAAGATTCTCATGACATTGGGAACCAATGTCATGGGATGATCCGGGAGCGCTCCGGTGCCCCGTTCGTAAAATTGACAGTTCCTACCCCTCCTAACCCCCCCGGTAAACCCCCCCACCCCGCCTCGACCCGAACACACCCCCCCACCCCCTTCAATTGCACCCCACAAGTCGATTTTGACTTTGGAGTCAAAATTTGACTCCAAAGTCAAAATCGACTTGTGGGGTGCAATTGAAGGGGGTGGGGGGGTGTGTTCGGGTCGGGGCGGGGGTTTACCGGGGGGGTTAGGGGGGGTAGGGACCGATAATTTTACGAATGGGGCACCGGAGCACTCCCGGGTCATCCCATGACATTGGAACCCAATGTCATGGGAACCCCACCCAATTAACAAATGAGGGATATGTAAAAATATTGTTCAATAAAATTGAACACTTCCCCCATCTGTCTTAGGAATATTTCAGGCATATTTAAAACCAAGCACATTAAAGCTCGATACAACCGAGAAGTAAGTAGAGACCAGAGACTAATAAGCTCTTTATTTCACATGCTCCACAACTGGCATGAACCATTTTCCCAGCTGACCTTCTCATCCATCTGTAGCTGTGTTGATGAAAGAGCAGTTTGTAGATGCAGCACCCATCTCCAAGAAGCACTGACAAACATCTTGCATCACTTTCATCACAGAGAAACTTGGGTCCAGATCTTTGTACTCTTTACGACATCTATCGTCCATCAACTTCATCAATGCATCTAGGCTAGGCATCTGGAAGTTAGGTATTGCGAATGCCGTGCCACAGTTCAGAATAACTTTCAGCACTGCAGTGGTCAGTGAAGCTATCTCAAGGCTGGATGGTTTGTCTGTGGTGTTTTCCAGGTTGCCTTCGGATCTTGCTTCGCCTGATGGACCTGAAACTCCTTCATTTGATTCTGGTCTAGTGATATATTCACCTGATGCAGGGTGTGATTCGGAAGTGGACTGAGGGGGTCCAAGAAGTTCAGTCCCTCCAGCATTGTGCCTCGTCTGTGAAGTTCCGTTCAGGCTGGATGGTGATGGTTCGCCTTCTTGCTGTCTCAAATGCAATCTTTTTAAGGGTCTTTCATGCAAAACTTCTTGTTCCACCAAATTGCCCTCCTGCTAATGACACATGTAAACACGAAAAGAAATGAAAACACCGAGCAAACAGCTAGTATAAAACAGTTGGGTACATTAATGATACACCAAACAGAAGTCTTTACACTTGGTTTCTCATGGTTTGCTGCCTGAAAGATGAGGAAATAGTGAACATTTGATAATATCAGCTGCAGATTCTCACAAAAGGATGGATAATAAAAGAAGCAACAGAAAACTAAATTCACCTTAGCTTCCTCATTGTCAAGAATTGCAGCTACAAGGGGGGTATAATTCTCTTCTTCAATGAGATCCCAGTTTTTCTTGTTTAACTTAAGAAGACGTTTTAATGCAGGTTTCACCCTTTCATCAGAAATCCCAAGAGCTTTCATGGCATGAAAGGCACTCGCAATCCTATTCTTAGAATCAGGAGCCATCCTTGTCGTAGAAAACTCTCACGGCAGCCTCAGATTCTCAATCAACCTAACTATTTCCACACTTTCAACACCCAAACAACGAAAAAAGAAAATAGAATGAAAAAGATACAGCAAACATTCTTTTGAAGGAGATGTATTGCAATGTTATAGACAAGTGCATGCTAAATTGACTTCAAATAAACACCAAAATTGATAAGCTTGTGAAATGTTTTGAATTTCACTCGTTCAGAACGAATCAATGCGTACAGATTTTATTAAAGAAAACAAACCAATTGCTTAAATTGATAGAACAAATAGAAATGCCTAAAAATTAGTAGAAATTTCAAATTGGCATATCAAATATCTTCATTTCAGAGTATTAAAAAAACAATTCAAAATATATAGAGATAACACTGAAATTAATTAAGACTCCGGAGATCTCAAATTTGGGCACTCTCCAAATTTTGGGGCCCTAGGAGTTACATTTCGTGGTCCGAGATCATGGAAATATATAATTACGCACAAGTGACCCATAGCACATTGCATTTATGAGATTTAAACACAAAAAAAGGCAATGCATGAATGTCTGAAGCAGTAGTAAAGGTGAATTTACCCGTTTCCACAGTTCGACTCGCAGAGTTCTTTGAGAAGCAGAAATTACGCAGGGGAGAAGGTAGGTGGAGGGAGGCGATGGAGTTATGTAACCACGTAGGACTGCCTTATGAAGCATCTTGTTGGAAGCATGATGCGTGAGCGCACTCGCGGTATACCCGAAAAACTTTATCTATATTAAAAAAATGTTTTCTTTAGAAATTTATATAAAAATAAATTTATTTAGAAATGTTTTATTTCATCATCTCCGATGGAGCCAAAATTTCACCATTTTTTGGCTTTGAGGTGTGATGCAATAAATCAAAATGGATCTCTAAACTGTCTGCGCTTCTTTAATTAATGAAGTAGCAGTTCGTCAAGCAATGCAACTTTCGACGTTGAGCCGGGGGTCTCTTTGGAAACAGCCTCTCTACATTCGAGTAGGGGCAAGGTCTGCGTACACACACCCTCCCCAGACCCTACTCTTGTGGGATTTAACTGGGTTGTTGTTGTTGTATATAAAAATAAAAAGTACAAATTATATCGTTAAAAACTATATATTTTATTTTATTAAATGATTAATGAAAATTTTTATATAAATATAAGATATCGAGAGGTTGTAATAGTAATTTCGAAGAAAGATATGGAATGGAGAGAGTTATATGGAATACTTCTTGTTGGAAATTCAGGAGGGGTATGTAGTAAAGCTGCGTAGCAACGTTAGAAGAATTGCTACACAAAGAACGTGAACATATACTTGATAGACTTAGAGAATCACGAATAAAACTCTTTCAAATTAAAACAATTTCATATACAAAAATACTTTAATCAAATAAGGTATAAGTAATCTAGAACGAGTATGGAAGTTCTGTCGTATCAAAACATACCATGGAGCAATCCATTTATAGGCAAAATTCGAATGGACATGTTACGTTGGTCGATGAAACAACATAATTTTTCGAGTAACATTCGAATGTTTGTACTTAAACATTTGAATGTATGTAGCAGTTCATATGCATATAATTATTTCTGTAATTTTGTGTGAACTGTAACATGTTATTACGAAACATTTAAGTGTGTGAGATCAAGCATTCAACGTATCATGCCAATTTACAAAGGGTGTTCGAGATAAACATTACATTCGAATGTATTGTTTTATACATTTACATGTAGATTAGTTTGAACTCCGTTTACGAAAATTTTAAGGACCCCACTACCTTGGACCACACTACCGGGGGCGGTAGCCGTTAGACCCTGCTATGGAATTTGTAATATCATTAAAAGAGTGTGTGCTCTGCATCTCTGAACTCGTTAGCAACGTCTATTAAAATCCTCATTTTTTAAGTAAATCTAATTACATAAAATAATTGATGATACTAAAATCGCCAACACTTCCTTCGTCCAAAAAAACATGATCTCAATTACTATCTCCATATTTTTTTATTATTTGAATGTTTCATTAATTATTTGATCAAATAAAATCTAGTTTGATAGTGTAACTTTGAAATACTTAATTTGTTATTTTCAGTTCATACCTAGGGGTGGACACGGTACGGTTCCGGAACCGCCGGTTCCGGTACCGCCACCCCATGTCACCGGAACCGTCACCGTGCCGGCCGGTACCGGTTCCGGTTCCGGTTCCCAGACCGGAGGTTCCGGTACCNCCCCCCCCCCCCCCCCCCCTTTTTTTTTTTACTTTTTTTAAATTTTTAAAGTATAAAAGTGTAAATTTGCAATTGTTTAAGGAAAGAATCAAATAAAAAATATAAAAATGTAGTTGTTATTTAAATATTGAAACTGAGTAATACACTAACTCAAGAACAACCACATTTAATATCCTGACGATTCAAAAAAAGCGACGAGGTAAAGAACCGTAAAGAAACCCTCGAAGGAGCTTATATATCACTCACCTAAAAAAACTAATTACATATTTACATTAACATAAAAAAAAATTTATAACTTATTCTTCAGAACTCGGACTTCCATATGTGGTTGCATTCATGTAATGCTCCGATTCGAGTTGGTACGATGACTCTTGAGCCCGACGTCTTGCCAAGAGCCAATCTTGGTTGCAAACCAGTGTTTCAAGAGATTCAGCGTTAAGACAACTTCGGTAGTCGGTTAGAATGTTGCCGCCAGCACTGAATTCTCGTTCAACTGCTACAGTTGATACCGGGACGGACAACACTTGTCTTGCTAGCATGCCGAGACATGGGAACATGTGTTCGTTCCGCTTCCATCATCCGAGCACGTCAAAATCGACGTCGTCGTCATTGTTAGACATATATGGAAAGAAGTCTAGTTATAGCAGAATTGTTATTTATGTTAGTTTACTTATTTGGTGAATCCTAGTCCATGTAGGGATCCTCACCTATATAAACATCCATGTACACAATTATTCCTTAAGAGTGAATTCATAAATCAACATGGTATCAAAGCTCCAAGATCCTTTTTTCTCTCCTTTCTTGCTGCGTTAATCATAAAAAAAAAATCGGCAGAGCCGAGCTCTCCTACCAGGCCGTGCACAGCCATGGCGTCTGACTCTTCTGATCCTATGGATCGTCTCCCTACGGGTCTCAAGTTGTTTGTCCGGAATCTCCAATCTCTAACCCCGGTCAAGCTTGATGACACCAATTATCCCTCTTGGTTAGCCACCGTCCGTGCAAATCTCCTCGCTCATCGTCTTCTCGGCTATGTGGATGGATCTGAACCGTCTCCTCCGTCTCTTATTCTTGATGAGAAGGCTGCATCACCGGGAAAGGATGAACCGCCGGTTATGAAACCAAATCCGGCCTATGAATCCTGGCGTATTGTTGACGCTCAAATTCAGGCCTGTCTCCTTGCTATTGTCTCACCTACGGTTCAGACACATATTCATGCTCTTCCCACCTCGCTTGCAATTTGGAATCATCTAGAACAACGGTACAACTCTCTTTCACGAACTCATATATTTCAGTTGAAGGAGCGTCTCCATGGTGTTACTAAGGGGACCGATTCGATGCAATCCTATTTGGACACGGTTCTCACTATTGTGTCGTCTTTCAAACTGGCTCATGAAGAAATCTCTGAACAAGATATTATCCTTTGTGTTCTACGAGGTCTACCGGCCGACTATGCCTCCCTCAAGCAAAATATTCGCACCAATATTGCCACCGTCAC